AGTCTTGGGCAATGCATACAACTCTTCCCTGAGGTGCGTGTTGGCTCAGTCACGCGATCAGACACCAGGCTCTCTCACCTTTCCGTCAGAGAAAGGAGCTCCGGGCAGAGTTGCGACGTAGTCCGAACCGGCGCTCATCATGAGGCTCGAGGAAGAAGGAGTAGTAATGGCAACAGATCGCACGGCCATCGGCGCGACGAAGGCAGTCGAGGAGGCGATGAGGGTGGCGGCAGTGCCGATGAACATCTGGGAGGCGACCATCTTGCTTGGAATGTGGGGCGTGTGTTGAGGGATTGGTTGTTGCTGGAAGGTGGAATTGAGGGTGTGTTGCGGGTTGTGAGAGGATGGGGGACAGGCGTGGGGGGGGGCAACGATGCGGCGAGATTGTGTGTGATGTGTGAACCACAACACGTCACGCGCAAAGTTTTCGAAGGACGTAGTATGTACCATCGTGACAGGACAGGTGTCATGACCCACATCATGACTCGACCAATTCGTCAATCACGGAAACGCGATGGCAATTCACAGCCAGGAGGGCGATCGAGCATCCATGTGATTGAGCTACAGGAACTCAAGCTGAGTCTCCTCGTCATTATCCACCTACAGCAGTGCCTGTCGCATGTCCACAAGTCGGCTCGCCCATTCAGCGCGGGCCCCTTTGGCGGGCTGTTTTCCTCTGCGGGGTATGTATTTCAAATTCGAACCCTCGAAGACGATTGGCTGAGCACGCGGCGGCATCATGACGTGATTGCAGTGTTTGCAGTCTTATCGTGTCCAAACTGCGAACTGCGAACTGAAACACGCACGACGACCGAACAGAGATTTCGTGACGTACTTCATAAACACATCATGGTGGTATGGTTCCGCCACGTACTCAGCAAATCATCTTTGAGGGTTCAAATTTGAAATATATACCCCGCAGAAGAAAACAGCCCGCCCCAAACGGGAATGCGCTGCTGAAACGTACCACTGTACGCGAGCCGACCAATATACGATGTGACATGCAGGTGGGCAATGACGAGGACACTCAGCTTTAGTCCCCATAGCTCAAGCACACACTCACCCGCTCTGCTGGCTGCGAGTTGAGTTGCCTTCATCGCGTTTGAGTGACTGACGTGGTCGACACATGGTGATGTGGATGGACACATACGTGCTTCGAAGGGTGTCACAAGTCCCTTCTTGCTCATGACATTACAATCTCGCCGCATCTTTACCCACCCCCACGCCTGTCCCCCATCGTTCCACAACTCACAACACACCCTCACCCCACCTTCCAGCAACAACCAATATTTCGACACACCCCCTACCTACTAACAAGATGGTCGCCTCCCAGATGTTCATTGGCACTGCCGCCACCCTCATCGCCTCCTCAACTGCCTTTGTCGGACCGATGGCCATGCGATCTGTTGCCAGTACTCCTTCCTCCTCGGGCTTCAAGATGAGCGCCGGTTCGGACTACGTCGCAACTCTTCCCGGAGCTCCCTTCTCTGACGGAAAGGTGATGACTTGTGTGTGATGGCGAGAGCAAACACCCAAGGTGGTCTTTTGTCCCTATGCATGAAGGTCTGTAGGCTACAACACCCTCGGGACCGCCGTCTCGAGCAACGTTTACCCGTGTGCGGAGGCTCGCTCGCTCTACTGCTGTGCTGTAGAACACCGATAGCAGTAGCCTATTTTGTGGACGTACACCTACCAACGTGAACATGTGGCCTTGTTACATCAGAAACAGTGGAACATAACGCGCGTACCGCTTCAAGGTATCTTTTTGTGTTGTAGTCATCTGGATATGTACAGCATCCTGGGCGCACGCGCAGACTCGAAACTTCGTCATGCCGCTATCCAAAGCATACTAACCACGACGGAAAGATTGGGAGTTCTACGGATGAGTATATCCATCACCGTGCCGTGTCCGTGTGAGGTTTTACCCTCTGGACTGAATTGCCTCACCCGTTGCGGTCTTGGACCCCCGCTGTTTCACACTCTCGTGCCTCAGATCTTCGACCCCCTGGGCCTATCGGACGGCGCCGCCCCCGGCGACATCAAGAAGTGGCGCGAGGCCGAGATCAAGCACGGGCGCGTGGCCATGCTTGCGTCCCTCGGTGTCATCGTCGCAGAGGTGAGGCAGAGCATACATGCCTTCAGAAAAGGTGGCATGTTGTTTTGTTT